ATCGACATAATATTGTCGATATCGTCGATATCGACATCATATTTGTTCTTGGACATGTATGAAACAAACAAGGTCTCATGTCACAGTCATCTTACCAAGTCAAGGTTTTCAAGTCCCTCCACTCCACAAAATTTTCAAATGGGATAAAAGACAACATACAATCAATGCATACACGACTGCTTTAACCCAAACATTCACCTATTTTTGTCAAATACATAAAGAATCAACAATATTTCACCATTTCTCTATCAGTGATCATTTTAATTCTATTTTGAACTTTACCAACTTATTTCTATTTCAGGATCTATACAACAAATCTGGGTTTTTCTATATTGAGGGTTGTTTTTACAATGATTTTCGTGACAGTGGTGCAATTGATTACAGCCAGTAAATATTTTTTTTTGTTAAATTTAACATATACATAATCTAGTAGAATTGTAAAATTTTGGAATGGCAAATTAAATGTTATATATTTAAAGTACAAGAAAACATTTTATTTAGTTTAAATGTAAAATTCAGCAAATGATCTCTCTTTCTGTTTTTTGATTTTGTACATGATTAAGGGAGTGAGAGGAGGGAGCGAAGTTTGTTAAATCAGTCAGTAAAATTTATAAGTATAAAATATAGTTAAAAAAACATAAAATTTTGAATTTGCAAGTACAATGTAAAATGTTATATTTTAAAAGTATGAGAAAACATAAATGTGAATATAAAGTTAGCAAATGATTTCTCTCTCTCTCTCTTTTTTTCTCTCTGTGTTTTTAGCTCACCTGAGCCAAAGGCTCAAGTAGGGTTTTCTGATCACAATTTGTCCGTTGTCTGTCGTTGTCGTCGTTGTCGGCGTTGTCGTTGTCGTTGTAAACTTTTCACATTTCATCTTCTTCTCAAGAACCACTGGGCCAATTTCAACCAAACTTGCTACAAAGTATCCTTGGGTAAAGGGGATTCAAGTTTGTTCAAATAAAGAGCCACGTCCTTTTCCAAGGGGAGATAATTATGAATTAGAGAAAAATTAATGGCATTTTTGAAAAAAATATTCTTCTCAAGAACCACTGGGCCAGGAAAGATGAAACTCATGTGGAATCATCTTCAGGTAGTGTAGATTTAAGTTTGTTCAAATCATGACCCCCGGGGGTAGTGTGGGGCCAAAATGGCCGATCAAAGTTTTACATAGGAATGTATAAGAAAAATCTTGAAAAATCTTCTTCTCAAAAACCACTGGGCCAGGAGAGATGAAACTCATGTGGAATCATCCTCAGGTAGTGTAGATTCAAGTTTGTTCAAATCATGACCCCCGGGGATAGGGTGGGGCCAAAATGGCTAATCAAACTTTTACATTGGAATATATAGGAAAAATCTTTAAATCAAGAATCATTGAGACAGGAAAGATGAAAAAGAAAACAGATCAAGATTGACCGATGTGTACTACCAAATTGATGTGGCTGCCGCTATTAATACCACTGACACATTCTTAATTTGCTGTGATACATGTACCTAAGGATTTGATTAATGGTTGCGTTTAACGTGTTGGATTCTTATAGGTTTAAGAAACTCTGGTTAGGATGCCATTGTTAAACTTCAGATCTAAAAAAAACTTCAACACTTTGCAAAAAGACACATAACCAAACGATTCTTCTTTTAAGAATCGGACCATATCGTTCATAATAATTTTTGGCTAATCGATGTTTGATTTCAAACAACAGCACTTAATAATTTTGCTTAAATGCAAAATGAATCCTGAAAAGGAAGGACTATTGCTATAAAATACAAAGAGTATTGCATTTAAATGCAACCAATTACTGAGTTTAATTGCAAAAAAAAATATTAAACGCAAAATATAATTGCAATTAAACGCAATAATCATTGCCTTTAATCGCAAAGGTATTGCGTTTAATCGCAATATTATTGTATTTAAACGCAATAGTTATTGCGATTAAACACAAAAATATTATTGCGTTTAAACGCAAAAATTATTGCGTTTAATCGCAAAATTATTGCATTAAACGCGAAAGATTGCATTTAAACGCAATCGTTTGCGATTAAACGCAGAGTTTTTTGCGTTTAAACGCAATGATTATTGCGGTTCATCGCAATGTTTTGAGCTTAAACGCAATAATTATTGCGATTAAACGCAATGTTTTGCGTTTAAACGCAATTATTACTGTGATCAAACGCAATAAAAAATATTTCTTTCTCTGAACTGGCCTCAACGGGCTTCCGTAGTATCATTACTCATAGTTGCAAATATTTTTTCAATGAAATAAACAAATGTTAAAATGTATGAGTATTGATATTTTATTTGGTTGCACCTTAGTTTCATTCAGTAAAAAATATAATGAGCAATTATATTTTCACTTTATCGAGGCCCAATCTAGTTGGAAATTACGAAAACGGATTTTTTTTTTTTCATTTTTGTTAATATTTTTGTATGCATCATGCTAAGAAAAAATAGAATAAAATTTTGTTACCTTGTCTTTATTGTAGTGAAATGAGGGCACTTTCAAAATATGAAGTTTTTTTTTTCGTGCTTTTATACACATTTACATACAAAAACTCAATAAACAAAGGAATTGACAAATTGAAAAAAAATAGATGATTAAATATGTTGTTTTTCACATTTATCTTTCAATTGCCATTCCTCTTTTAAAAAATGAAAATAAAATTGGAAGAAGTCTTTAATGCAGTGAAAAGGGGGTATATCAAAACACAATTATTTTATCCAACTAGATATTTTTTAAGTCGCATGCAGTGGGTTTACATAGCATCAGCAAATGATTGTAAAAATATGTTAGTTTCTTAAAATTAAACTAATCTTACTTTGTTAAATACAGTGTAGTTTTTCCTCCATTCTATATTTTTTATTAACACACGACGTTGTTTTACGGTACTATGAAAAAAAAGGGGGGCTGGGTTAGAAAACAACATAATAAACAATTTTACTCATAAATGCAACACATAGAAAAATAGTAATAAAAAGGGGGGGTGCATTCAAAAGATTCATAAAATTAATTTTCTTAAGTTCAAGCTTATCCATGCATATTTTAGTCCTCAATTATAAAAGTTAAGTACTGAGTTAACACTTCAACATGTTCAAGGAGAAATGCTAAAACCGTTTACTTTTGGTTGCATGTTGTTTCAACTCACAAATTGAAATAAAACAAGATAAAATTAGTGAACCTGTACCTAGAAATTGATACCTCAAAATAAATTGTTTCAGAAATGTTTATTAATCAAAACATTTATTCTTCAAAACATGTAAATCATAGAAATGCCAAAATGGGCGAGCTTTCAATATGCACAGTCTGTAGGGCTACCAAATATGCAAGATTTCCGAAACATTTTAGCGCAATTTGACGTCATTTTAATTGTGACGTTTATGACACATCTATTTCATTTTTGATATTTTACTTGAAAAAGACGTCAATGGTAATCTAACAACCAAGCCTTATAATAAACGTGAAGACTTTAACTTTTTTATCGTCGACTTCCCTTACGTATGCAGCAATATTTATTCATCACCTCCATACGGATTTTATATATCTCAGTTCATTCAATACACAAGAGCATGCTTTGCGTATGAACAATTTCTACAACTAGGTAAGTTATTAAAAAACAAGTTGATGAAACAAAACTTTCAGCAGTCTCGTTTAAAAGCCACCATTTCGTAAGATCAATGGTCGATACAATGAACTTGTCAGCAAAAACAATTTATCATTGTGTCAAATGCTGATTGACGTTTTTCATACTTATTGTTAGTCCATTATTTATACACTGAATATTGATAACGGAATTTTCCGTTATTTCCCCATCATGACAAAGAGCAGAAGGCGGGCGTGTTCGGTCGGTAGTGGATGCTCACTCCTACATTGCACCTGATCCCACCTACGATGATTTGGAGGTCCATTTTTGCTCTGCTCCTATATTGTATTGGTTAATGGACTTTTGATCTTGAATACCTTTCGTCCATCTCCATGGATATGTTTCATTGTTTCCAATACAAAGAAGTTCCCATACAACAGGCAATTGAGATAGCTACATTTATTATCTGTGGTAGTAGGTTTAATTTTCAGTCAATTATTTCAAATAATTTAATTTTACTTGTAACACGCCATTTGATTGGATAAAAGATTTTATCCATTTTGGATAACATAACTTGCCTACGTCACAATGAGTTACGTCAAAAAACGCATTACTCCGCTTGACCTTTCTTTTAAAATAAAATCATTGTGAAGCCTCATTCCGGGGAGAAAATTATCTCATTGTCTGCATTGAAATTTAATTATAAGAAATGAAGCTTATTTCATCTAATATTATACGATATAACAAAACTTGGGACAGTTTATGCTTTTTTATAAAGCGTAAACTGCCCCAAGTTATGTTTTATCGTATAATATAAGCTTCATTCCTTAAATAATTTAACCATGATTTATTTACATATACTGGATATTTTCTCCTTCATTTCTTAAGAAAATCATTGCCGAATATCAGTTCATTAACAAGACTAGGCACATCTTTTCCATCAATAGAATGTACTTTAACGTGCATATCAATAAAGCACTAATCTATCTTTTTAATCCTACATTAATTGATTATTTATAGATAATATTCAAATATAAACAATAAAATTCATTGATTGTAAGTACGGAAATTAACGTTGCAGCTATTGCAGAATTTTTTTATATAACCCGGTTACACGGGTTATACATTTTTCCTTCAACAGCTGCGGCATTAATTTCCATGCTACATGTATCAACCAAAGAAAGCATTTTATTGTTTAAATATTAAATCACACTAATACTTTACATGTCTTTTTCTTCAGTAAAATGAAAGAATTTTTAAAATCATTCTAGACATGGATCTAGGTAATGATTTTTTCAACTTCTTTTCCGTCTACAAGACCGAAGTGCTGTATACGGGAAGATAAAGAAAATCTTTAATAAATTTCAACGACCAAATTTTGTTCAATAGTGAAGTAATTTCCTTTTACTTTGTAATGGGTTTTATTGCAGATATTTGATTTTCTTCACTTGTGAGATATATTTTTGAACAACGAACAGGTTGTCATTTGTATCTGAACACAGTCCCCAGGGTGCATCGAGTTCACAGTCTATGTAACGGAGAAACTGTCCATCCTGGTCTATAATGTGGATACATTCATTGTTGTCATCAGCTGTAAGGATGTGACTCTGACTGTCTGTGGTGATTCCTCGTGGACTGAATGATTTTTTCTTTGGAGCTGGAGTATGTCCAGTGTACCTGAATCTCAGTTTCCCAGCCTGATTAACCACTACTACTGCTGTAACTCCACTGTCAGACACACAGATATCCAGGTTTCTGTTCTCAGTTATGAAATTGGTAGAATCAGAGAAGAGAGTTTTTCCTTTATCATCAAACTGAATGGTTTGTTTCTCTATGAAACCATGGTAATGGACAACTTTTGATTGTTTTTTATTATTACTCATAAGGATGACCAAAAGATCACCAGAGGAGGTACTACAAACACCTTTAGGTCTCCAGTTCTGTAGTCTAATCACCGCCTCTATCTTCTCATTCTTCACAATGTTCACAGTTCTATCATCAGTATCAGTATAAACTAGATCTCCACTTTTTGTCACTGCTATATCTGCTGGTTCATTCCTTGACTTAGTTTTGATTGCCTTGAGTAGAGATCCCTGACTAATGCTGCAGAGTTTCATGGTGTTTTCATCTCCACTTGTCCAGATTTCTTCATCATTTAGACAGGTCACATTGGAAACCGAACCAAAGAAACCTCGAAGTCCATACCAAATATTTATGCTGGTGATAGTATTTGGTTTATCAAGCAGCTTTTTGACCGGAGGAGAGGATCCAGCTTCTTGTGATCTCTGTGAAGTCTTCATGCTGTGGCCATTTTCAACAGATGTTAGAAAACTTGATGATAAGGCTCCAAAGAGTTTACAGAGTTCTTCTCCTTGGATTCTTCCTGATGTGAAGTTGGGCAAAGAAGGTGTAACATATTGTGGAAGCTTTCTGAATTTTTTAAAATCAAATTCAATACTACAAAATTTGAAAATATCTTCAGAATTTACTGCGTCCTCAAGTGAATTAATTTCTTTTCTCATGTCAAAAATGTTTTTGTTAATTTCATCCAGATGTTTTTGTAGAGTTTTTAACTGTGTGTTTTTCATCTCGTCAACTTCATCTTTAAGTTTCTTGACAAGTTTGTCAATTTCTCTGTGCCAGTCCTCTCCATGTTTTGTTATGGCTTTTGAGAGATCTCCATATTCCTTTTCTAACTGAGTCATTCTGTTTTGTACATCAGATGCAATGTTCTGATAGGTTGGATAAAGTGTTTCTCTTAATTCAGTTTGTTCTTGGATGATTTTGTCCCTTTTTTCATCCAGAATTTGTTTCATTTCTGATAATTTATGACCTAGATGTTGAACAGAAGCAAGACATTTAGTGCAGACAGGAATATCACAATGATTGCAGTACATTTTACATCGTTCTTTATCATGAGCTTTACATCCAGGGTAAAGGGGGGTAGATTTTCTGTCCTTGAAGTCAACAACTTTATGAGGTTTCGAAAAATCTACAGAGAAGTGTTCTCCTACACAGGCCTTGCATAGGTTGACAAGACATGTATCGCAGTGCATCTGTACCACAGCGGTCTCACACAGGTCACATCTCATTACATCCTGGGCACTGGTACGGGGGTCCATGTTCAAATCTGAGGCCCTGAAATTGAATTATAATTGTGAATTCATGATACAAATAGATAATTTTATTTGTTTATTGTATATTGTTTGACGTCTGTCTAGAGAATTTTCACTCTTATGGAGAGGCCATCACTTGCCAGTGGAGAGCTGCAAGTTTTGTCCTGTACTCTGCACTTATGGCCTTTGAGCAGTAAGGGATCTTTTTCGTGCCAGAACCTTTCGCGACACTGGACCTCAGTGTCATCTGAAGGACTGATCTCCACGTCCAATGATTGGATTCAAACCAAGGACGGACGCAAGGTTCGGCTTTTTACTTGGCGACTCTAGAGCAGATGCTCTAACCAGTGCACCACTGAGTGACAAAAAGATAATTAAATTATCTTGAAGAGTTTTGTTTACAAATTATGAAAGACAATTAATCAAAAAGTCTTTAAAATTAAGCATACTACTAGTATTACTAATATGTGTTTGGGTTGGGGTGGGGGGTAAAATTAAAATTTTAAGTCAGCTGGAGTCCTGGTATAAATTATATAGTCCCCCTTTCATTTGCTCACCATGTTTACGTTGACTGGAAAAGATCTATGGTTTAACTTTTTATCATTAAAAATATTTTTCCAATTTAAAACATTGTTGGCATTTGATAAACCTATGGTAACTCAAATCCACTAATAATTTTATAATTGGAGTCATGTTATATTACTTGAACCCCCCAACCCCCCGCCTTCAACTTCTTATAGTCAAGATATTTTTCTAATGCATATGGTTTATACAAGCATTTTGAAGTTGGATATGTATTGAGAGTAAACAAGAAGTGAAAAGTATTACCTGACTTCAGACAGTAATGGCGGTGTTCTGTCGACGATAAATCTATATATAGACTATCTCTATGTACTTTGATCACAAGACACCTGTATCATTACCTGTCAGGTATTTTACTTCCTGGTTGATGCATACTGGGAATTAAACACAAACTTCTGTGTCCTTAAACATTCTAACACTTTATATATGGGCATTAAAATGTACAAATAATAAATCACGTGATTTACCATTATCAGTAGGATTTATCATTAGAGCACATAACAACGTAATAAATGTATTGAGTTCAACTTGTGGGATCAGATTTGTAAATAAATAAACTGGAATAAAGGGTTCAGTCTTTCCATGCTTAATGCGGAACAAATAGGGTGGAAGTGGGTCCAGGGCGGTGTTGAATGATTTCTAGGTCACCTGACATCCTGCATGAGCATAATGAGTAATACATACATTTAAGCTCACCTGAGCTGAAGGCTCAAGTGAGCTTTTCTGCCCGTTTACTTTTCACATTTTCATCTTCTCGAGAACAACTGGACCAAATTCAACCAAACATGCCAGAAGAATAAAGGAAAAAATCCCAAGAACAGAAAATCTATGTTTAGTCATATTCACATGTAAACATCTTCATGTATTGAAGATTTAAATTCGTTCAAATCATGGTCCTTTGCACGGGTAGGGAGGGAAACAATGGGAAATCAAATTCAAATTATTACGAAGTAATATATAGGAAGATAATGTATTAAAAACAATCTTTTTATCATGCAAGAACAGCAAAGTCATATGCTTTATTAATATGAAGGTATTCTCAAGTAGTGTTAAAATTCAAGCCTCACCCCTCTGTAAATTTTCAGTTCTGATCTATATGTTTCTATATGAGTTGAAAAAAAATTCAAAATGGAACTTAAACCAGCATAGAATCAATGCAAACACAGAATCATCCTAAAGAACTATATGCGGTATATTGCATATGTTTGCCCCCACAAAAGTCAAATTTTAAAAACTTCCTGAAATGTGCTGAATTCAATAAATTGTACGAGAAATATAAGTTAACAGAAAATATTATAGTTCCAGAGCAGTGTATTCACAATTTCTGTTTTTATGACGTCACAAACTAGTCCGATTTTATATCCTTTTTCAGAAAGAGGACAAAATGGACAAAATTTCAACAATTTAAGCTTTACAATTTATAGAGCGCATGTGTGTTCAGGAACAATATTGACATATTTCATTGATATTATCATTCTACACATTATATCAAAATATTTATCCTGAACACACATGCGCTCGGTGACTTTTATTTAAAATATCGACGAAATATGTACATTTTTCTACAAAATTCATAAAAAACTGAAATTACGTCATATTTGTGACGTCATTACGTACATATGACGTCATTACGTATGAAATTATTCAGTGCTTTGAAGTCAGCATATACTCCCCTGTTTAAGGACTTAATTAAATATTACTCCATCAAAGTATGATTTTGGGGGGCAAATTTTGGTTAATACCGCATATAGTTCTTTTGAATTCATATCACCGAGTTCAGAAATTCATCTAGATGTGTCACAATACATAAAGAATCAACAATATTTCATCATTTTTCTATTAATTTTCATTTCAATTCTTCTATTTTGAACTTCACTAACTTATGTTTATTTCAGGATCTCTACAAATCTGGGTTTTTCTACATTGAGGGTTGCTTTTACAATGATTTCCGTGACAGTGGTGCAAATGACTACAGCCAGTAAATATTTTTTTTTTGTTAAATTGAATATAAATAATCGGATGGAATTATCATACAATAATGAAATAGCAAATTAAATGCTATATAATAAAAGTATGAGAAACATTTTAAGTTTGTAAGTAAGGTAACTAAGGTTAGTAAACTGATAATGGTTTTCTTTCCTCCCCCTCTCTCTCTCTGTCTCTTCCTTTGATTTGGGAGAACAGACTGTGAATACGAGACGGTCTAAAAAATATTATATTATCGTATAAGTCGAATTGTTAGCGAGGATTTTATTTTGGCATTATTAGCGAGGGTGCTGAGATCGCTAAAATTGAATATAATTAAAAAATTTATTGTGTTTTATTTGTAAAAGGCTCTTTAGTGAGCATTTTGAATCGCTAAAATTACAACTCACTAAAAATAAAATATCAGTTTTTAAAGACAAATCGCTAAATTTGCCTCTCGCTAAAAATTACACTTATAAGGTATTTCAGAGTGATTCGGATGCTCCGGAGGATCCCAGTTCTTTCTGTGTAAAGTGTACCGGTCTCTCCATTACGACCAGCTTGGAAACAAGATAGGCAATTTCCAGGCGTTTAGATTCTTTGACAGTAATTCTGTTATATAGTGCTCACAGGAACAGAAGGGCTTTCGCCTACCCGTTGATAGAAATAAGATACTTCTATTGCCTGCCTCAAGGCTCAAAGAAATGTGCAATCAACCTGATATTAAACTTGTTAGTTCTTCAGTTACTAGTGAGCGTATAGTAGCAGTCTCAAGGAACCTCCAGACGTAAATATTATCAGAACGACCTGCTTTTCAATTTGAATATGAAAAACCAACATCGAAGATACCTTAAGGAACTTGCAACAATTCAGTCTATTAAAGTACATACAAAAAAGATTTTAGCAGTCAGATACTAATGAAAGTTGACTTACTTCTCAAAGAAACCTTCCTGATATTGCCAGTACTTTAGTTACTAGTGAGTTTATAACCAGCTTTAACGAAACCCCCCAGATAGTCAGAGGCTCAGATAGTGCTTTTAAGTTTGATACTAAAGAGTCTAGCTCAAAGGAACATCCAGAAACTTTTACAGCAATTCAGTCAATAATGATATAGTACTGCTATAGAGCCACATCTGATCCTGATCAAAACTGAATTGGTTGTCATAATCAAAAAAATCTCAAATAAGAATTTTTTTATCAAATTAAGATTATTGTACAAGCAAAATTTGATCTGTTTTTAACATATCCCAAAGTGTTCATAATACAAAATGAGCAGCTATGAAGTTCAATGTTTTCTTAAAAATAAAATGCAATAAAACTATTTGTGGCTTGTTAGGCATAAAAATGCGTATCCTTGAAATTACTGTAGAGGCATGATATCAACAGTCATTCAAAACATAAGCTCTGTTTTATTGATTAAAGGAAATAAGTTGAAGGATGAACAACTAAAATCACCTCTGTCTCCTCATTTTCTACAATGTTTCTCTTTTTTTTACTTTATTCATTGAAACACAACAAGATAACGAGTGGCAATAAGATCTGCAGATGTCCACTATAATAACCCATGGTTATCCAGGGGATAGCAAAATATATATATTTGAAAAAATAATGTAACTAAATTTGAATCAATAATATAATAAAATTGTATAGTGACACCATATGAAAAAAAATATATATATATTATCTAATCTGAGTTTTAACACGTTATTGAGGTATTCGCTATTATATATAATAGTTGATTTTATTTATCGATCATTTCAAATAAATAATTCAATCATAGGAACTCACTCATACATATAAACTTATTATAAATAATCATATAAACCCTTACACATATATACACCGTATAATGATCATACAGACTTGTGATAAATATACATCTTTTGCTTTTATTTTTTTGCTGGGGTGGGTGTGGGGGTTGGGGTGAAAAACAGTTTACATGAAATCAAAGTTATGTCTACTAGTAAACTTGATTATTATTTACTGTAATCTACTGCAATCTAAAACAGTGATAGATATCACCGCAGATATTTGATTTTCTTTACTTGTTTATTCAAACATTGAGCAACAAACAGATTGTCATTTGTATCTGAACACAGTCCCCAGGGATTACTCAGTCCACAGTGTATGTAACGGAGGAACTGTCCATCCTGGTCTATGATGTGGACGCAGTGATTGTTATCATCAGCTGTAAGGATGTGATTCTGATTGTCTGTGGTGATTCCTCGTGGATTGAATGGTTTATACTTTGGAGCAGGAGTATGTCCTGTGTACCTGAATCTCAGTTTCCCAGCCGGGCTGACTACCACTACAGATTTTCCCTCACAGTCAGACACACAGATATCTAGGTTCTTGTTCTCAGCTATGTATTTGTAGTAAGAGGGAGTAAAGAGAGGTATGCCTTTATCATCGATATGAATCCTTTGTTTTTCAATGAAACCAATGTAACGGACAACTTCGATTCTGTTTCTTTCATTAGAAAGGATAACTAGGAGGTCACCAGATGAGGTGCAACAGACATTGCGACGTACACAGTTCTGTAATCTGATCAACTTTTCTATCTTCCCATTCTTCACAATGTTCACAGTTCTATCAATATCATCAGTATAAACTAGATCTCCACTTTTTGTCACTGCCATTTGAGGTGGTATGTTCCCTGACGTGGTATTAATAGACCTGAAAAGTGATCCCTCATTGATGTTCAAGAGTTTCACGGTGTTGCTAAGTCCTTTTGTCCAGATTTCTTCATCACTTTGACAGGCCACATTATAAAGGGTATCTTCATACCAAGTGTCTATGGTTGTGATAATATCAGGTTCATCAAGCAGATGTTTGACTGGAGGAGAGGATCCAGTTCTGATGATCTCTTTTCTATCTTCAAATGGCTTCCATTTTCCTCCGAAGTTGATGGAGCACCAAACATTGTACAAAGTGTTCTTTCGTCAATTCTTTTTGTCTTGAATTTAGGTAAAGGTGGTATGACTGAAGTTGGAATTCGTCTGTATTCATCTACATTGGATTTAACACTAAAAAGTTTTGAAATATCTTTAGAATCTTCAGCTTCCACAAGGAAATTTATTTCTTACTGATTGTAGAATTTTTTTGTCTTATTTCATTAAGATTTGTCTGTAGATTTTGTATCTGTTTGTTTTTCTTGACATCAACTTCACCTGTAAGTTTCCTAACAAGTTTGTCAGTTTCTCTGTGCCAGTCCTCTCCATGTTTTGTTATGGCTGTTGAGAGATCTCCGTATTTCTTTTCTAACTGACTCATTCTATTTTGTATATCAGAAGCAATGTCCTGGTAGGTTGGATAAATTGCGTCATTTAATTCAGTTTGTTCAAGGATGATGCTGAACATTTTCTCATCAAGAACTTGCAAAATGTCTGATACCATATGACCTAGATGATAATCAGATGCAATGCACTTCTTGCAAAGAGGAATGTCACATTGTTTACAATACATTTTACATCGTTCTTTGTCATGTGTTACACATCCAGGGTAGGGATAATTAGATTTTCTGTTCTTAAAGTCAACAATTTTATGAGGTTTTGAGAGGTTGGTAGTATAATGTTCTCCCACACAGGCCTTACACAGGTTGACAAGACATGTATCACAGCGCATCTGTACCACAGCGGTCTAACACAGGTCACATCGTATTACATCCTGGACACTGGTACGGGGGTCAATATTTAAATCTTAGGCACGAAAATTGAAGCATATTTTTGATACAAACAGATTATTAAAGTGATTTGGGAGCTTTTTTGACAATTTAAGAACTAAATCAAAAAGATAAAATCCAATGCACTACCACTTTTACTAGCGCAGCTCCTTTTATATAATGTTCTATCAATTTTTTGTCTTTATTTGTCTGTTTTAAATGTTGTATGTATGCCGCCGAAATACGGCTCAAATATACCCTATTTATTGTTAAACAATGAATAAATCAATCAACCTTTTCAACTTTGTAAAGAAATATTAATAAGTATTATATGTTCTCAATTGAGACAATTTTAAATTATACCCTTCTTTCTGTTGTGTGTTGGGAGGGGTTAATTATCAATAAAATCATGTTAGCTACAGCGAAAGCATACTCGTATAATTACGAAATCTCCCATTTCCTTAACTAAAATAGAAGTAAGATTTTAACCATAATGATTTTCCAAGTCAAAACATTGTTGACATTTGATAAATCTAATGGTAACCCAAAAGTCTATAATAATTGATGTCAAGTTATATTACTAGGACCCTCCCATTTAGTGATGCTTTCCAGGGACATTTTATTTTCTCCTAGAGATACTTCTATCGTGTCTAAGGAAGATAAATAAGGTACAGTCGTCTGAAGTTTTTCCAAGAACTATAAGTTAAAAAGGTTAAATCCCTTAACAGATACTTTATTTCTATCTAACATTTCCATGAATTTCTGAAATCCTGCATGAACATGATGAGTCGTAAATACATTTTATGATCATTTAAAGCTGCTTTTCTGAAATGTTTGTGCAAAAGTTAACAAATTTTTATAGGTAGCATCTTGGATGAAGGAAAACTGAAAATTGTTGACATCATGGTCCCTCTCGTCTTGGAATCTGAGCCCTCAATAATTAATGAAATACATGACCTTTATGCCCAAGGTCTCAAGTTCAGTCCTCTTGGACAATTTTTTTTGTTTTTGATGGAATAACTTGACAACAGCCTTTAAAAAGACTTAAGATCACCTGAGCTAAAAACTCAAGTGAGCTTTTCTGATCACATTTTGTCCGTCATCTGTCTGTTCGTACGTCTAAATACATTTCTCATTTTCGAATTCTTTTCCAGAACCGATGGGCTAATTCCATTTTGCCTCAAAGGATTTTTGGATAAAGGGAAACCAAATTGTTCAAATGTAGGGCCACATCCTCTTTCAAGAGGAACTGTGAAGGGTAACTTGTTAGATCCAGGATTTTTAAAGGACTTTTGGTATATATTGACTTAAACGAATGTCAGACTCAGAGGGGATCCAGGTTTATTTTAGGGAGGAGGGATTACGTGTCATATTCAGGATTTGGTAACCCAGAAAAAGAAGATGGGGAAGAACACCTTTAAAAACCCTGGAAAATTCTATTTCATGGCGATGGTGAATAACCGTAAATTTTCTTCAGAGGAGGGGACAAGGTAATTTTTTGTTTGTCTTACATATAAGTATCCAAGAATTCAAGTAATTTTCAATCAACAATTAAAAACAAATTCATGGCATATACAATGTAGACTGTGCGTGGTGTATTTCTATAAAGCAATGAAGAAAATTACCTGTGATACCTTCCAATATTAGAGAATAGTTTTACTTTGCCCCTATTTTGTGCTAATTAATGGACTTTTGAACTTGAATGTTATATTCGTCAATCCATATATTTCATAATGCATTGCATTGACATTTACTATTTATGATAAAAAAAACTTTGGCAGCCATATTGAACTTCGTTGCTCTCAGAAAACAGAGGCTGTCTAAAAGTGAATGTGGTTGAATTATCAGTTTTGAATGAATCAATCTTGAGCAAACAAACACAGATAATGTTTTTCACTGAGTTACATGTATTCTATTGTTTAACTAGGACGCAGATAAAATGTTACACAACATTTACTAATTTTCAAATCACTGACAGCATGTTTGCTTCACTAGAATATGATAACATCCCTACATGAGTGATTTTTTTTTTACAAATGGGACGTAAACAACATACATGTACAATCAATCAATTAATAACACTTTTGGATAATGTCAACCATTATGTATAAAGAGCTGATGACAGCAATGCAAAAATGAACAAGGAATTTCAAATATACGAGATAAATAATAAGAAACATAGAAACTGAGCAAGTCTAAATGGCTTTGTTCGCCATTACAATTTTTAAGTTCGGTAGAATTCTCTCTCACGTTTTTGTACACTGTTTTAACAATTATTCCCATAATGAATAGGCTACCTAATGAAGATAGCCCACCGTGGATTAAAGGTTGTCTTGGAATGTTTTTTTCTTATACTTCACACGATCTCACCTTGATATTTGATAAAAACCATATTTGTTCTGCTTTGAATTGTTATCAAATAATTTGACATAGGAGGAAGATAACTGTTCGTTATCTTCTTTTTTAATAGTAACACCTCATATTTGTTTCGAATAACAGGTGTTATAAACATTCAAAGCAAAACGAAAGAAGATATTTCGAGTTTTTCCAAATAACGTATTACATACATCTCTTGGAGGAATTTAGGTAATTAACTTTGTAACAGTATTTTATTTTACTTTTCAGATAAGCTTTGAACATGATTTTTCAATTCATCTGTTCTATACTTGCTAGTATGCATTATTTCTCATTTCAAAAAATGTGTATCAAATTAACTAAATATTTTAGGCAGGATGGACCATATTCCGCGTCTATCAGAGGTCCTATATGTTGGTCTGTGTCGTAAACTAGGAACACCGACAGAGGTGACCATAAGAAGGGACGTGATGGATATGACGGAATTGATAAGGAGACCTTTTTGTACGCGGAGGGGGATTGTACAGATGGATAGTGGTAGCTATAAAGAAGGATTTAGATCTAGAACATCTGACAAAGATTTTATGTTCTGGTGCTGTAACCAGCTAATAACGGACACTTCTCAGTCTCGAGATTATAATACATCAAAAAATGATATTATACTAATGGAAGATTCTGACACACCTCCTGGATTTGTCAGACTGCGCCTTCTGACATCCCCTCCAAGAAACATTTTCACGTTATCATGTCTTGTAGACCGTAAGGACGGAGCTTATCTATCAAGTTTTCTGTGGAGAAACACATATTTTCAGCTTGTTATGAATCACAAGTCTTCCAAATTCATGAACTACAACATACATGGTCCTTGCACTAGTGGTTTTTTTGGGTATGATAAATATGGAGTAGAAGTAGATCACGCTTTTTGTATTGCCACTTTATGTTTACCTAAAATACTAAGGCACTGGGTTGACAGATGTCAGATATTAAAATGGCCGCCAGTACCTGTTCTGGAAAACATTTTAAGAAAAGGTTGTCATTGTATCCCTATTGGAAGTAAAATTGACTCGACTTTTAACGAACTTGAATGGAGATTGTCGTTTTCTTATGCCGAACAACAACTAGTGAGTACCATGAATCATACACAATTTCTATGTTACGGACTTCTGAAAATATTTTTGAAGGAAGTTATCAATTATAATAGGGAACCGTTACTGTGTTCATACTACATGAAGACCACAGTGTTTTGGATAATGCAATATGGACACGTTAGATGGTGCCCAAACAGATTACTTGACTGTTTCTGGATTTGTTTTAAATATCTCATTCACTGTGTTAATCAGGGAGTGTTTCCCAACTTTTTTATTTCACTGAATAACATGTTCATAAACAAAGTAGTGGGTGATGCACGTGAATCCCTTTTACAACAGCTTTATCAGTATTACAGAATGGGCGTGTCCTGTCTATTGCTGAGTCCGTCTCTCAGATCAATCCTAGAACCAGCCCTCAGTAGCCCGACCTTTATGATATCCTCAGCTGAGGGAGAATTTATGGCTACTGCGGATAAAGATTTGTGTGGCAGTTATGAAGTATTTCAGACAATGTTTTTTTCTGAACAGGTTTTGGATTGTTATCTCTATTTGACTTCAATTGATAAATTATCTCGATTATCAAAATCTCCATATCAATTGTTGACTTTACAGTATTGTACTGCTGAGTCTCTTGTTTGTATAGCTCTCACAATGGCACGCAGCAGTTCATATTACACGAACAAAAATGTTTATATCACAGATAGAATGATTTGTAACATGCTGAAGCTGGCTGCGAAAATAGGCCCTGTGTCTTCCTTAATTTATCTAGCAATGCATTACTATAGAACAGGGAGATATGTCAAATCATTACATATCACTTGTCTCGCTAAACTTCGACTATATCAGACCTTTAATATTTATAACACAAAAGTTTTGAAACAGAGCTATAATGAAACTGTAAATAATATATCGCTGTCTAGGAGAATGAATCTATCTTGGGCAAATCATGTTCCTTTATTCATCACTTTTCCATGTATTGAAGAATTAGACCTTGAACTAAATGTAATAGAGCAAACTGGAAACACACTCGTTCATTTATCACCATTTATTATGACAGAAATGTTATCTGTGATTTCCCACTTTAGATTAGGTAATATATCTCAGTGTTTACAGTCACTGATAGAGCTACAGGAACTATTACTCTGTCCCAATCGGAAATATATACCAGTCTATCAGAGAGACCTATCTTGGCAGATACTTGGAATCTGTCAGCTTATTGTTGGAGACTTACATGGGGCTTTACTGTCCTTTGAAGTGTCGCTTAAACAGGTTCCATTCCACAGAATTCAAGAAGCTACAGATGCAAGAATTGGATATATTAAACAACAGTTACATAGAAATATGTAATGGATATATGCTGAATACAGTTTTGTATGAAATATATAAACACTTTGATGACCGTTATTTAGTGTTTTAAATAAAATTAAACTTTTTTGCTTCCTTAAATTAAGGAATTGTAGACTTGGAAGCGGCACTTGTTTGACAAAATTGTAAAGATGATAGAATATAGCAACAAAACT